GGACACGGAGGTGGGGACGTGGCTTTGGGGCAGGACCAAGGGGTTGGGTGGGGACAAGATGGTCTCCAAGGTGGAGACGTGGTCCTGGGCCAGGAGGATCTCAGGATGGTCCTCCAAGATGGAGACGTGGCGTTGGGGCACCAGGGTGGCCCTGAGCCGGCGTGATGGATCCAGGATGGTCCTCCAAGATGGAGACGTGGTCCTGGGCCAGGAGAAGGAGCTCAGCATGGTCTTCCAAGAGGAAGCCATGGTGTTGGGGCACCAGGATGGCCCTGAGCCGGCATGATGGATCCCAGGATGGTCCTCCAAGATGGAGACGTGGTCCTGGGCCAGGAGAAGGATCTCAGGGTGGTCTTCCAAGACGAAGCCGTGGCGTTGGGGCACATCAATGGCCTTGGGCCAACACGATGGATCCCAAGACGGTCCTCCAAGACAAAGCCGTGGCCGTGGGGGTGTCCTGATGGACTTGGGTCAGGCTGAAGATCCCAGGACGGTCCACCAAGACGAAGCCATGGCGTTGGGGCACATCAATGGCCTTGGGCCAACATGATGGATCCCAAGATGGTCCTCCAAGATGGAGACGTGGTCCTGGGCCAGGAGAAGGAGCTCAGTGTGGTCTTCCAAGACGAAGCCGTGGCGGTGGGGCGCATCAATGGCCTTGGGCAAAAAAGCGGCATGGTGGGTCCCAGGATGGTCCTCCAAGATGGAGACGTGGTCCTGGGCCAGGAGAAGGATCTCAGCATGGTCTTCCAAGAGGAAGCCGTGGCGTTGGGGCACCAGAACGGCCCTGAGCCAGCGTGATGGATCCCAGGATGGTCCTCCAAGACAGAGACGTGGCCGTGGGGGTGTCCTGATGGACTTGGGTCAGGCTGAAGATCCCAGGCTGGTCCACCAAGACGAAGCCACGGCGTTGGGGCACATCAATGGCCTTGGGCCAACATGATGGATCCCAAGATGGTCCTCCAAGACGATCCCATTGCCTTGGGGCACCAGGATGGCCCTGAGCTGGCATGATGGATCCCAGGATGGTCCTCCATGGCGGAGATGTGGTCCTGGGCCAGGAGAAGGAGCTCAGCGTGGTCTTCCAAGACGAAGCCATGGCGTTGGGGCACATCAATGGCCTTGGGCCAGCATGATGGATCCCAAGATGGTCCTCCAAGATGAAGACGTGGTCCTGGGCCAGGAGAAGGAGCTCAGTGTGGTCTTCCAAGAGGAAGCCATGGCGTTGGGGCACATCAATTGTCTTGGGCCAACATGATGGATCCCAAGACGGTTCTCCAAGACGAAGCCATGGCTGTGGGGGGTGTCATGATGGCCTTGGATCAGGCTGAAGATCCCAGGATGGTCCACCAAGACGAAGCCATGGCGTTGGGGCACATCAATGGCCTTGGGCCAACATGATGGATCCCAAGACGGTTCTCCAAGACGAAGCCATGGCCGTGGGGGGTGTCCTGATGGACTTGGGTCAGGCTGAAGATCCCAGGCTGTCCACCACGTCCTCGGGACACGCCGACGGAGCCATCCCAGCCGCCTCCGCCGTCGTTCTCATGCGAGGTGGGTTCTCTGGTGCTTGCTGAAGGCCGAGCTCCACCCGAAGGTCTTACCGCACTGGGCGCAGCGGTAGGGCCTCTCGCCGGTGTGGGTGTGCCGGTGCTCCAGGAGGTTGGCGCTTTGCCGGAAGCTCTTGCCGCAGTCGCCGCAACGGTAGGGCCTCTCGCCGGTGTGGGTGCGCCGGTGCTTGGCCAGGTGGGAGTTTTGGCAGAAGCTCTTGCCGCAGAGCCCGCAGGTGTATGGCCGCTCGCCGGTGTGGGTGCGTTGGTGCGGTCGTTGGTGCTGGATGAGGTTGGAGCTCTGCCGGAACGCCTTGCCGCACTCGGTGCAGCGGTAGGGTCGCTCGCCGGTGTGGGTCAACCGGTGCTTGGCCAAGTAGGACCCGAGGGCGAAGCCTTTGCCGCAGAGCGGGCAGAAGTGCCGCTCGCCGGCGCCGTGGGTGCGCCGGTGCTCGGCCAGGTTGGAGCTTTGGCTGAAGATCTTGCCGCACTCGGGGCACTTGTAGGGTTTCTCGCCGGTGTGGGTCACCTGGTGCCGG